TTTACTCAGTTAAACATGAATTTTGAACTGTAGGCCTACATAAGCTCCAAACAGCGATTTTTGATAACCTTAATCCGACTAAAGCCATAACTGAGCAAAAGAGAAATGGAACTAAGATGTGAAGTATGCATATATTAGTGGTATTATTGAAGTAAACACCCCGATCAAACTATTTCAGCCATGTAGGACTTTTCGCCATATTTTCTGACAAGATCCACACATGTGGCTGTCAGTAATGGAGCACACGCACTCACACACACACCCATACACGCATCGCAAAATGCAGAATTTTAAAATTAAATTCCATAACACTTTCCCCAGTCCTTACTCATTTGCGTCTAATACCCCAGTTTGTCATGGGGGCATGAATGAAATGTTCATGTGTTGAAGTGAAACTGCCGAACTGCAGTTAAAGTCACCCAAAATGACCAGAAACTCTTACATGAAAGCACTCCATGTAAACACCTTAATTATATTATTGTCTATTAAGGCAAATAACTAGATTACAGATGGCCATGTAGACTTAGTCAGTGGTGTCTTAGAAGAAAGTGAAAGATCCAGAACGGCATCCTGCTGATTTGATTCAGAGGGGCACTTTTTTGTCAGACGGCTCACCGGTTTGAGTTTCATTGACAGTCATTTATTTTAAAAAGCACCCGCTCCATTTTTTATTTGCATATGTTTTACTCAAACGCATAAACTTTACAGGTGCCTGATAGTAAGATGTGTAGCTTACATTATTCAGATTCACTCTCGTGAACTGCAGATAATTTCACACTAGGAATACACACAGGTACGACGACTCATTCTCACCCCCTACAGTGCAATACAGCAAGGTATACATCAGTGTTAAAATATCAAGGTGAAAGTCATAATAGCTTCCGTAGAATAGACCCAAATAGCTCCCAAACCAACTTTGAGAATAGAATAACAGCAATATATATATATATATTTTTAAATCGCCGAATAAAAGTTTTGCGTCAACGTCGATAATGGCCACTACTAGTAAAAATGAAAAATTGTACCTCTTCCCAAGAGGGAAAACCACCAACAATCAAGAATGCATGATTATATGGTGTGATGGCATCACAAAAACTAATAATGCATCAAAGCCAATGTTGTTACTAATCTTTCATATGTTCAAGACTGTGATAAAAGGTCAAATATATCCAGTCTAGTCCTTTTATACTGAAAATACATCTTTTAGTGTGTGCATTTTCCCCCAAACCAGTGAAATCTAAAACTTTGCATTTTTAGAGTGAAATTCCTGGATACAAAAAAACAAAACAACCTTAAGTAGTTTTGATCTAGAGATAGATTAACAGATTTGTGCAAAAACAAAGTTGAAAATATATATATATTTATCTGATACATCTCTACAGCAGTTTAATTAAGCAGATGTTTTCATCCCGAACATAACAAAAGGACAGTAAATTTGAGTCGTTTGGCAAAACATGCAAAACAAAAGTCCTGTGTTATGTTGCTGAGGTTTTGGAGTAAAGGTAACATAGAACACAGTAGGATGTAATGACATATGCTGCAAGCCAGTTGAAAACAGATGAATCTATGCAGTTATTCAAACTGGTTGAGATGTTAAAAAGATCTGATATACGTTTTAAACAGCATAAGATGTTGTTTTCAAATATGTCATCCTTATTCAAATTGGGGCAATAGCATTTGGCAATTGCAAGCCGCATGCCACATCTGGGTGTAAACACAGCATTAAACTCTTACATAAATGTACTCAGGCACCTACTGCAGAGATATCAGCTTCTTCTGACGTATAATTCTAAAAATAAATAAACAATTAAATAATTTAAAATATATACAAATTAAAAACAAATAAACGAATTAATAAATAAATTTAAATACTTTTAAATCAATTTAAATAGTTCTGAATACATTTAAATACTTATTACTATGAATCGTTTAAGTTTAGTTTTGTTATTTGGCAAATAAGAAATTAAAATTTCACTAAAACAAAGTGCAACTTCATGCATGAGGGGAAAAAAACACTTTCTAACTTAATGATAACTGATAATTGTTTCACAAATCTTAAATTGAGTAAGTTCAGAAAAATCACTGTTCCAACTTTAATTTTTTTTTTATTTCCAGCAGGTTTTCTTTTTAGCATGTTTAGAAGTCATTGACTTAATGCAATTTATGAATCATTAATAATCAGTTTCGTCTACAAATTCTTCTACTGAGGATTTAAAGTCACTTTTGAAGGAATGAGGGTAAATAAGTTAACAAAACATTTAGAATTTAAGTGTGTCACTTCTTCCTAGTAGGTATTAAAAAAAATGAATAAAAAAAAAAAATCACACAGAAAGTTGCCTTATGTTATGTTTATCTAAATGTATAAAAATGTGATGATAACATTTGATAACAAATGTGATGATAACACACGAGCTTTGGACCAATCACATAAAAATAATGTAAGTGGAACAAACAAACAAACAAACATGAAATAAGCACAACTGTGAACCAATCGGAAAGCAAATATGCAGAATGTATATTGCTTCCCTTCTTGATTCCTCATAAAAGCAGTAAAGCTACAGTATGGAGGAAAGCTTTTTTCCTGCCACCTGCAGAAGGGTGCAGCCCAGAGGAAGGATGGAGGAGCGGAAGGGTGGACGACAGGAGGAGGGATGAGGCCGCTCCATGAGGGAGATCAAAAATGACAACTTTTATGCTTCCACTGTGAGAAGGCGAGCAGGACAGAGAAACAGAGAGGCCACAGCAGGGAAACACAGCATCCTCTCAAGGGTGTGATAGAGGATATCAGCTCTGAAAGCTCCTCTCACCATGACAACAGCAAGTACTAACCCTGCTTGACTGAAAACTATTAAGGTAATACTGTTCTATTTGGCAAGCCAGTGCACTACTGAATAATGATAATAATAATAATAATAATTGATGGTAGAACAGTTGGTCATGATTATAGAAAATAATACATTCATGTAATTTGATAACTGTTGTTAAAAATATAGCTTGAGGGAGTTTATTGGTATTAGATCAATATATATATGCCCGGTTATTAAATGGTATTACTTAATGGTATTAATTAATTAATACATTTAATGTAGCAACAACAACCTAAAATGTGCTGTATGTAAGTTTTTGACTATTCAAGCATAAAAATAACATAATATGTTTGCAGATATATAAGAAACATGCCAAGTGAATATTCTTGTTTACCTGGGATACAATTCTGAAGTCAGATATTCTAATTTGAAAATGGGCTTTCTGTGCCAGAACGACTCTCATTGTTTTAGTTATTTAACCCGCCCAATGCCAGTTTAGTCAATTATATTTCAACACCCTGGGTTGCCTTGTTGGTAAGCCGCATGCATGTTTTTATGCAGGGGATTCCCTTCCAGCTGCAACCCATCACTGGGAAACATCCATACACACTTATACACTACAGACAATTTTGCCTACCCAATTCACCTATACCACACATCTTTAGACTTGTCTGGGAAGCAAGAGCACCTGGAGGAAACCCACGCGAACACTGAAAGAACATGCAAACGCCACACAGAAATGCCAACTGACCCACCTGAGGCTTCTTGATGTGAGGCGACAGCACTATAAATATTTCATAATAAATAAAATAAATGGTTAAAAGCATGTAACTTTTTTTTTAATAAAATTATTTTAATAAAATAATGTTTAATATTTTTGTAACTGACATGCACCTCATTTGTCTTATTGAATCAAAAATCAATACAATTAAAGAAGTAAAAAAACAATTAACTTAAGTAAATAAAAACACTTTTTGAAAAATATATTTAAAGAAATAACATACTACATAAAACAGAAATAATTCAGTATTTACTTAATTAAATATCAATTTGTATACATATTTTTTGCAAATAAAATGCTATTCTTACTTAAAGTTTTGTCTTGTTTGATAGCTAAACATTCTTAAATCAAGAAGCATTTTCTAAATATTCTTATGAAATTAGGAAAAGCAAGATTAATTTGTTTACCTTATTGGCAGAATATTTTGTTTATTTTAAGGAAAGAAACTGACTTTTTTTGCACATTATTTACTAAAATAAGACAATATTTTTTGCTTATCTAGAAAATGCATCTTGATTTAATTTTTTTTTAGATATTTGGACTTGAAAAAAGTAAAAAAAAAATCGAATGAAGAAAAGGATTTTCTTTTAATTATATATATTAAGCATATACTTCACTTATGCTGTACCAGCCATGTGCCACACTCTACACAGAGTTGAGGTCGGAATTATTAGCCTCCCTGTATATACAGTATATATTTCACCCCAATTTCTCTTTAACGGAAATATTTTCACACATTTCTAAACATAATAGTTTTAATAACTAATTTCTAATAACTGATTTCTTTGATCATCGCCATGTTGACAGTATATAATATTTTACTAGATATTTACCTAAAATAACTATAATCTCTCATCCACAAAAGCTGCTGCCATACAGTACAGCAGAAGTCACTACAGATCACTAAACCTCACACGCAGACAGGAAGCTGCAGTCTCATCCTCACTGTACACTGTACCATCAATAAACAAACCAGCACCAGCCAGCCGGATGCTTCTATATTCCTCTCATTGTCCCTGCAAGCGGATTGAGAGAAATCAGATTAGTGAAAGACAGAAAGTGACAAGAGATGCTGAGGGATGAGAACGGAGGGGGAAAAAAGCCTGGATGGGCTCTGGGTGGGTTTCCGTACAGAAAGACGAGCAGGAAAAAGCCGGAGTGAGAGAACAAAGCAGGGAATATGGTGACCCTGGGGCCCCAGTGCATCCTGGTCCTCAAGAGCGGACCACAGTCCATTGATTAACACTTCCCTTGATGATTCCACCACTCGCTCTTTATTACCCTGTTTTCGGGCCTGATAGGTGGTTTGTGCTGATAAAGCAGGAAAACATAAGCACAGAGAGATTGATATATTTGGAGGATTTATGCTTTTAGGGAGCGTGATGAAACATGCTGATGACTCGGATGTATGACATGTTTGGAACACACAATAATGGCTGTTATAGCAGATGTGATGCGAGTATGAGATAATGTGGTAAATCAATAAATATATGTTGACAGTGCCATCCGTGAGAATAAAACAGCTTCTAGTACATTATTTTGCTTAGTATAGGGCGGTTTGGAAAATAAATTGATAAATGCAAGTGAAAAAGTTACTTGTGTATTGTTATGTTTGAGTAAAAATTTTGAAATAAAAAGAAAAAAAATCAATAATTGCATAATAATAATAATAACAACAATAATAATAATAAAATAATTCTAAAACTTAAGTTAAATTAATAACTACATATTTAATTCAAATAACTAGATCAACAGGTATAATAAAAGTCATCAATAATTTCTTAAATGATTGCATAATAATAAATAATAATAATAAGAAGAATAAATTCTAAAACTAAATATAAATTAATAACAAAAAATTTTATTCCAATAACAACATTAAAAAATGTAATAAGAATCATCAATAATTTCCTAAATGATTGCATAATAAAAAATCTAACAAATAAATGATAATAATAATAATAATAATAATAATAAATTCTAAAACTAAAGTTAAATTAATAACTACAAATTTAATACCAACAACTACGTTAAACAGTATAATAAACCAATCAAAATGTCCAAAATGATAGCATGATAATAATAATAATAATAATAATAATAACCACAATAATAAATAAATTATAATAATAAATAAATTCTAAAACTAAAGTTAAATTAATAACTACAAATAATTTAATTGCAACAACTATGTTAAAAAGTATAATACTAATAATAAATACATTTAATTTAATAATTGTTTATCTGATTTGAATGGGTAGTCAACATTATCTTGTTAATACTTTCCAAAGTGTTTAACTGCTACATTTCCTAGCATATTGTATTAAGTAGCGAGTGGTCTGCACTCATTTCATTATTTTCGTTTTTATGTTTTTTTTTCATGTATGTATATGTGGGCATATATGTGAGAGGAGATAATGTGATCCGGAAGTGTACAAAAAGGAGCACCTGATTGTGATAAACATTGTCTGATGAAGAGCCGGGTGGCTCGAAACGTTACACGCTCTGTGTCAGCCTTTTTAATTTAATAAATTTGTATTTTTGGACCCTTGGTGTTGCCACCTTTGATTGACATTGATGTTTTTTTTTTATTCAATGAAATTAAATGTTTTGTGTGCATTCTAGAATTGCTGACCTTACCTACAGCCCAAAGTACTGAGTTGAATGTGTCTTGATGTTCCTCTTTGGTGTTTAAATCCATCCATGTGACTTGAAGATGGCCAGATGGCAGCTTTTCTACACTTTTCGGTGTGCACTTCCAGTGGAACTTCGTGCCATACGTCTCCATGTAGTCTGTGACTAAACCAGACATTTGCTGACAAACAAGCAAAAAACTCTTTAGAATCAGAGTAATTTCAGAAAAAAATACATATCTATGGTGTTCTATATCTAAAGTACAGCCATTATTATTCAAATTAATAAATAAGAGGAAATGGTAAATAATAAAATGGTGTGATAGGGCTGGGTGATACAAATCAGACACCAGGAATTGTGTAAAAAGAAATTTTGTATACTAAAAGTGTAATTCTTAAAAGAATAATTTTTTTTTTTTTTATTTGAAGAAACAAAAATCACACAACCCATACAGTTTTTGTTTTCATTTATTCATTCTGTTCATACTATTACTTTTTTTTGACAAAAACTTTAAATATTTGTTATATTTTCATTTGATTACATTTGAAAAGATTCCTTAAACTGTTACATTTTAAATAATTTATTTAATCGAAAACTAATCTTGATGCAAATTGATTGTAAATCCTTAAAAAAACTAAATCCAAGAAAAAATATATAAAAATAAAAAACATTTAGGAACAAAAAATAAAATTGAGTTTATTTTTACAAAAAAAAAATAAGAAAATCCCCTAAATGGTTACATTTTAAATAAAAAAAATGCAAATACATTATAAATCCTTATATATATATATATATATATATATATATATATATATATATATATATATATATATATATATATATATATATATATATATATATCAATGCCATATCAAGGTGTCAATGTTACTGGACCATGAACATTTCCTGCTTGTTGCCAAACTATTTCGTAACTAACAAGAGTAGTCATATCTTAACGTTAAAACAACAGTAATAAAATGAACAATATGTGAACATTTTTAGATTTTTAGAAGCTAATGAAATTAAAAATGTAATATGTAATTAAAATAGATTAGGACCATACTGTTTATATCCCTTAAAATATCAACATTAAATAGGTTTGAGTTTATTTGAACAAACATTCTTGATGCAAATACACAATTAATGCTTAAAAAATACTGAATCCAGAAAAAATTTAAATAATAAAATTTAGGGAAAAACAAATAGGTTTCAGTTTATTTTTTACCAAAACATTTTTTCCTTTATACTAGTGGTCACCAAACTTGTTCCTAGAGGGCTGGTGTTCTGCAGATTTTAGCTCCAGCCCTAATCAAACACACCTGCACAAGGTAATCAAGGTGTTACTAGGTATACTTAAAACACCCAGGCAGGTGTGTTGAAGCAAGTTAAAGCTAAACCCTGTAGGGACACCGGCCCTCCAGGACCGAGATTGATGACCCCTGAAGTTACAGCTTTTATTTTTAGCTTTTACTTTCATAATACCTATTACACACAAGTACTTTAACGTAATTAAAAAATGTTATTTACAAATTGGCAAACTGTTCAGTCTAACAAAGAGCAACTGTACAAATAAAAAGGCTTTTAAAAGCTCTTCCTCCGAATTTGTTTTCTTAAACGCAGACCTTGAATCAACTGAGCAATTTGCTCTGGGTTGTCAGTCTGTGTTTCTCCTGACAGACCATACTGCGGGTGTAATGCTTCATAATAACATGACAAATCTCCTGTCAGAACACCATAACCATTAATTAAAGATGAAGGCTTGAAAAAAACAGGGTCATAAAACAAGTCTGGCCAGGTCTCTCATCCTGTTTTTACCATGCAGACTGGCGGTTTTACCAGGCTGAGTCACATTAAAGAATACCCAATTCAAAAACAATATCACAGAGACCAGTAATAACTACTCTTATAAGTGCACTTTACAGCTCAGAAACCCATTCGTGCAGAATAACAAAACTGTGGAGATCTTTTTTATGCAAGTTGAAATTCTTCAGTCACTGAAACAGGGATGTAATACCTGATCAAACCCGCGGAGGGCGATACTGCGCACCATTACACTGGTGTCCAGCCCAATGCCTGTAAGAAAACCAGCACACTCCAGCGATACATCTTCATACATGCTCAGTGAAGGAAAACACTTTCATTTACAGAAATAAGAAACAAACAGACAGTCAAAATAAGGTTGTTTTCCGTGAAACTGACAGTTTCAGATTAAAACGAGACAAATTCTTTCCCAGTGAACTTAACTTGCTTGTTATTCAAACTACTTATTTAAAATAAGCGGAATCAACACAATTAAAGGGTGTTTTTTGGGATAACTTAATTGTTTTGTTCAATCCACTTAAATTTGCAAAAGCAATTAAGTTAACGTAATAGATTTGTGTTGCGACAAATGAAGGAATTGTGTGGAACCCGGTATTTTTTGCAGGGTATCATCTTCAATTCAAACACAGTTTTACTTAATTGTTAAGGATGAACTCAAACTTAATTTCTTAATTCTGTGTCTCAAGTAAATATATCCTAATTTAAGGATGTTTAGATATTTGTAAACTTATTATTTACTTTAAAACAAAAATATAATAGATATTTACTTTAAAACACTGAGGAACACTCTTTTTTGCAATGTGTGCAACATTTAATGCCACAACTCTACAATTTAACACTTTCTTCTCTTATTTAAGACCTTCTTAAAAGGGACAGTTCACCCAAAATTCAATTCACTTCATATTTATTTCTATAGTGCTTTTTACAATATAGATTGCCTCAACGCATAAATAAAGATAGATTAACACAGATAAACGTGGAAAAAGTAAAAGTTAAAGCCATATTTTAAACCAGGGGTGTCAAACTCAATTCCTGGAGGGCTGAAGCCCTGCACAGTTTAGTTCCAACCCTGCTCCAACACACTTACCTGTAGGTTTCAAACAAGCCTTAAGGACTCAATTAGTTTGATCAGGTGTGTTTAATTAGGGTTAGAACTAAACTGTGCAGAGCTGCGGCCCTTTTGGAACTGAGTTTGACACCTGTGTTTTAAACCATGGAACATTCCAGCAATAGGAAAAAAGAAAATGTACTCACTATTAAATCCCAAACTTATACGAGTTTCTTTTTTCTGCTGAAAACAAAGAAGATACTTTAAAGAATGTAAGAAACCAGTAACCATTGACAGTCATAGTAGGAAAAGAAAAACTATAGAAGTCAATGGTTACAGGTTTCCAACATATTTTAAAATAACAGAAACTCAAACAGGTTTATTTCCAGTTTTGGGTGGACTATCCCTTTAAGATCTGAAATTGCGTAAGAGGTGAATTAAGACTTTATATAATAGCTTTACAGCCATTTAGCCCTGTGATAGAGTCATCAGCTTTAAAGGATACAGCTTGCACCAATGATCAACCTGAAATACAAAGAAATCCGCAATTAATGAGATCACAAATGAGCAACATTAACAATAATGTTACGTGACGACAACAAGAATCATTAATTAGCCACAAGATATAAGCAAGGCATAGACAACAGAAATTAAATGCTTGACTTTTTCATTAGTTTAAACAAAAATAAATGTTTTTGTTTGACTAAAATTTATATAATTACCACCACATGTATCAAAACCTTTCAAATAACACCCGATTTCATACAATTTTATACATAAATTGATATTGAAAATAAAAATTTGATTGTTTCTTGGGTATGTTGATGAATCGAACTAAATATCTGAAAATCCTTGTAGCAAACTTGTGTGTCGTTTCAAGAAAGCAATTATTCATTTGTGTTGTGTTTTATTTACATTTGTTTATATTCATTAATTCTTTATTTCATTATTTTATCTCATCATATGATCATTAGTCATTAAAATAATCATCATTATATCATTATATTGATTATTATTTGTCATTTTTTATGTTTTAATATTGTATAATTACTATTTTATTTCATATAATTATTGCTTCATTATTATTTAATTTTTCTATATCGTTATACTCTCGACTGTGTGGATTCAAGTGACACTTGTTTTCTAGAGTAAGAGATAAGTGAATGTCTCCATTTCTTTATTGTAACTGGACAATATTGTGAAGCAGGAATTGTCCATTGCTGTTGCTTGTGGTATAATAATAACACTTGTTGAGTTTATCCTGCTCAGGCGAAGTCTTAGCACTGAATCATGTGCAACAAAGATGTTCAAAAAGCTCTGCCCTTTCTTTATCATCATTACTTTGTCTCCTGCTTCTGCTCCTCTCTGACTTTTTCAGTCAACTCCTATATTGATAGGAGACTGTTAGCTCAGTTGATTACTAGTTAACAGGTTTGGGTATTGAGCGGCTCCAGCTTGTTGTGTGGATGCCCAGAGAAACAGACACTTTCTGACAGGATCTGTGTCCGAGGTTAGATCTTATTTATCTGGTGTGAAAAGTGTGATCTAACAATGTAAACTTGTCAAATAAATCTATCCTTCTTCAGCTTATAAATAAATATAAAAACATTTTCAAAAGCCACCATATTCCTTACATGTACTGACATTAGATATAAATATTTCATTATTCAAGCATGTACAATTGTCCAATAAAATATCCTTCTTCAGCTGAAATTTAATTATGCAAAATATCTGAAAACAAAATATATATAAGATTACCATGTTTCTTTAAATTTATACCATATATTATGAACAAATTTCACAATTCATCTTTTCTCAAGTATACGCAATTGCCTTGATAAATGCTGGTAAATTTTATTTTGCTGAAAAACTGCTAAATATATTTGTATAATAAAAAATACTATTCATTTGTTTTTCTAAATTGATTTATGCAGAACTTTTTAATTCATTTACAGTATTTATGCAAGAATAATATAACTGTAATTAAAACGAACTAAAATTAAAAGTCATCCCTTACATTACTAATTTTGTGGAAAAGTGAATAAATTAAATACAGTAACTGGTTATGCACTACTCAACACTGTGTAACATCATACCAAACAATCTTAAGAGATAAAAACACACTATTTGACTTGAACTAAAAGCAAAGAGAGAGAAAACAGAATGAACAAATGTGTGGTAAATGCGTGTATCCTGCTTTAATCTGCCCTGAGATTCTTGGACATGGTGAAGTTATCATTCTTAGTTAAGTTTTCCTAACAAGTTAAGTTATATCAAGTTATCAGCCTAAATTAGCATCCTGTGTTTCTCATCCAAGTTCCTGGAGGACCACCAACACTGCATGTTTTTGTCTGTCATACCTATAACAGGTCTTTCAGTAATGAGCTGACGATCTGAATCAGGTGTGTGTGATAAAGAAGACATGGAAAATGTAAAGAGCTGGGGGTCCTCCAGGAACGTGGTTGAGAAACACTGATCTACAGTATATATGCAAGTATATTATAAGCAAGTGTAATTAAATTACACTTAGGGTCACGAAACACCAAAACACATTTTTTAAGCTGTTGACAGTCGTATATGTGTCCCACACTGCTAAAAACACTATTAGGACATCTATATTTCACTAAAAAGTGTAAATTGGTTGTTTTTGCGTTATTTCAAGCAAATTCGTACTTCCAGTTTGAAACGAATTTTTGAAGCTGCGTCACGGTCATGACATAATAGCCTGTATTCCAGCGTGCAGACTGGGCGTCTGTACCAGAGTGAGTCTTATTACGTCTTACAGTGTGTTGCATTAATGCATGAGTAAGGCTTGGTTCAAACCAATCAGCGCACTCTTTTGTGCAACTTCATTAATATTCATTGCTGTCAGAGTGTAGACGGCAGAGACGCCACGTTGTGTTGGCAAAACAAGCGTGAAGTGTTGCTTTTATTGTTTGCTGCCGTTAAGTTTTGTTTTCATTTTCTCTCTGTGAGAGCGCAGACTCACGTGTGGATTACAGTGTACGCGACGCGCGACAACAATAACTTACGTGTCCAAGGAGGATTATTGTTTACCTGAGAGCTGTTCTCATCTGCAAACGCTGAGATCTGGATTCGCTTGTAGTCTCCTCTAAATAAAGACGCGGCTCTAGTTGCTGGTGATTGTCCTGTCTCTACAGATTTGGTAAGTGAGCGACCAGTGCTCTTTGTTTATTCAGTTCGTATTTTATTCGTATCAAACAAACTATTGCACCAGTGTAAACAAGTTAGCACTAACAGTTACAACCAAACTATAACCTCGTGTTGGATTTTGTGACCGGAATAACACACGCGGCTTTTTGACGCTACCTGCCGTGTGCATCTAAGTTTCTGGGAAATGCTGAGTTTTTTTTTCTCTCATTCGCCGCGCCGTATCAAACATTGCATGAAAAATACACGCTTAGAGCAGATCCTCGAATCAAATATCACGCTTGCCGGGAGGGGCATGAATGAATTCCCTGAATGAAAGAGCCAAACTGCAGTTAAAGTCCACCATTTAATAATTTGGCAAATAATTCGACAACAGATGTCCATGTAAACACAGTCACATTGTCCGCTGTGGGTGTGTGTTTTGACTCTGAAATTCAGCGCGCCCAAATAGACACTCCCACACCAAGCCTCTTTTCTTCCTCTGACACTCCCCCCTAAACAGAGGTGGACACGCCCACTTTTCTGACTTTTTCCAAAGTAGAGGTGTGAAAACACCCTGCTGAAACGAGGGGGTTTCATGAGAAGTTTTACTATTTCAGTGGACAAGTAAATTCATTTAACTACAGAAACTGGTAACTCTGTACTACCCAACAATTTGTAAAATGATACCAACCAATCAGACTAGATAAAAACACACACTTTTTGATTTGAACCAAAAGCAAAGAGAGAGAGAAAACACAATGAACAAAGACACAATGTGTGTGGTCGATGAGTGTATCCTGCTTTAATCCGCCCTGAGATTCATGGTCATGGTGAAGTCTAATTGTTAACACAAGGTCTAATCCTCCTGGATGTCCCGACACAGTCCTGCTGAGTGACACCCACTTACAGCAGTGCAACATCACACGCATTCAGTGCACCACACTGCTAATGCACATCTGCACTTACTGCTCTTTTGTGCGGAAGCTTATTGAGGGATTAGGAGCAAAGTCGCAGACCTCTTTTCTGTCGTTTTATCAACCAGACGCATCCCTGAGCTTCCACCTGTCATAGTGCAACATGTCTGATCATCAGGAAACTAGACTAAAATGCTGTCTGGGTTAGTATAAGGGACATTCCTTTTCATATACAATGCCTAATGGAGGATTATGGGAACTAAATGCATTTATTTTATGTCATTTGTGTTCCACAGTATGTGTGGTCCATCATAAAGTGAAGCACAATATAAAAAATGCAATCAGTCTGTGTTGAGACAACACGAAGGAATTAAGTTAAATGGGTAAAACAACTAACCCTTATGTACTGTTTGGGATGTTTTCATCCACTTTGGGGTGATTTTGAGTCTTAATTTGGCAGGGTTTCCACTACATTTATTCTTCAATGGCGTGGCGCCATGCCAAAATTGATCCTGCCACCGCTACATTACAGCTTTTAATTCAAAACATTCACTCTTGCTTTTTGTTTTGTTTTTTTTAATAGCCGATGATAATTGCACCAAAACGTATTATAAGGTAAGTGAATTATAACAGCGCAAATTTTCTGTAACCATAGTAGTGCTGTGCATCATTTGTTTAACCCATTAAGGTTACATGCTGACTGACTGACAGGTGGGTGATGCGCGAGGCCAGCAAACACGACGTATAGACGTTTTACTTTACTTCAGGACGCATTAATGCCGCTCTATAGGTCTATTGGAGACATTCATAAATATTCCCAGCAAATCTAATAAATGTTGAAGACACATGTTATATAAACACACTAAATTGCACTTCAGCAGTATATTTGAGGAGGCGTGCAAGAAGTTTTGTGCACGAGCAGAGGAAATCGGCGCGCAAGCAAAGAAATTCGCATTCTTGTAGGCTATTACATAAATGCGCTCACGACATTTGTCATTGAAATAACGCCACAGGTAGTTGGTAGATCTGTGTAAAAAAAAAAGGCCTGCCACCACAGCTGGAAAAAATCCTAGAGGAAACACTGCTTGGCCAGAACTTTTTCTGTGTTTCAGCTAGCAGAATGATTTTTGCTGACAAATCTTTTTGACATATTTTGAGGAAGTGCTTCATTATTTTTCAATTCTTTTGCATAAATCTGGTTATTAACCTCAGTCCTTATCAAAACTATTAAATTGCTCAGAAGATTACAGAATTTTACCTCTCTAGTTGCCAAATACATAAATGGTTTCACTGATTTGAAGAAAAAGAACACACACAAAATTATGTATTTTCAATCTAAAAAGTAGTGTAATTGTGGACTAGACTTTTTCCCCTTTTATCACAGTCCTGGACATGTGAAACTCTATTGCCTTTGATGCATTGTTTTTTAATGATTTTCATTTTTTTTCTCCCTAATTTACTGCTGGTGGCAGTTTTTGCCCCATTGACTTCCATTAATCCCATTTTTTTAATTACAAAGCCATGACACCATACAATCATGCATTTTTGATTGTTGGTGGTTTTCCCTGTTGGGAAAAGGTACAATTTGTCAGTTTTACTGTTGATCATCAATTGGCACCATTAATCCTTTAGATAGGTCTGTGCAAAAAAAAAAAGGGGATTAGTTTCTGGATTTTTTATGGAGTATAACAGCAAATTATTGTGTGTATGCGAGTGTGACCTTTACGCACTTTACAATGTTTCTAGGAAAACCTAAAAATGCATCGCAGCTCTTAGAACTAACATGGAGTAAACAAAAACAGAGACTGTGCATTTATGCACCATCAAATGTGGTCATAGTGTCAATGGGTCAAAAACAGCTACCAACAGTAAATTAGGGAGAACAAATGAAAATCTAACCATGCATCAAAGCCAAGGCTTTTACTTATCGTTTACATGTCCAAGACTGTGATAAAAGGTTAAAAAAATCTAATCCGCAATTACTTTTTATATTGAAAATACGTCATATTCTGATCAGGACTGAGGTTGCTTAACAGATTTCTGTTCTGTTTCAAAAAAATGTAAGAAAAGTATTTATCTGATGCCTTTTTACAGCAATTTAAATTCAGTGGATCTTTTCATCCCGAACTTAACAAAAGGAGAGTACATTTGAACAGTGCACAAGAGATAAGTTGTCCAGCACCCCAAAAAACCTCAATAATTGTGTTGTTTCAGCTTATTTAAACAAGTTTTATCAAACAGCAAATATGTCTTTTTTTGTTCTTGTAATACTGATTAGATTATTTGATGATAAATCTGCATTAACATATTAACATATAACAGCATGTAATTAGTAGCAATTACATTTGCCTCTATTGACCATGCAGGAGAAAACCCTAACAATATCATTCAAATCTATTTATTAAAATGTGTTTATGTATTTATTTATTTAAAGTAAGTTTAACCATGTTTTACAAACTAAAATGTATTTTACAACAGTTAACATACCATAGACATTTTATGCCATATTAAAAGGCTAAACTTAAAAAAAAAAAAAAAAAAATCACAGTGCAGCCCAGAAATACTAATGCATAGTGGGTGTAGTTTTAAAACATCTAGTTTTTAAATATTTGAAAATATAAAAAAATAATATATGATCAATTATTTGTATGTCTGAATAAAATATATCAGAATAGGTGTTGTTTTTTAGAGATAAATAAATACATGTTGAATAATAATGGAACATTATTTAACCTAATCTAGTAGACACTTTGCATGCTTTCTATAAAACAATCAAAAAATTTTGTAACAATTTAACTTTAACATGTACTTTTTATTAAATAATACAACTGAAAAGGGGGCAGGATGGTGGCTATGTGGTAAGCACTATCGCCTTACAGCTGGGCCAGTGAGCATTTCTGTGTGGGGTTTCTCCCACAGTCCAAACACATACCCCTGAGCATGATAAAATCAGCAAGTTCATGATGTGTGCCCACACTGAGCCTCCTTTCATTTCATGAGTGCAGGGCTACCGATATTGAAAAAAATGAACAATATAAAAAAATTATCAATGTCACAATAATTAATAGTATTTTTTTTGTGCATTTATATAGCGCATTTATTGTGTATGGAAATAGACTCAAAGCGCTTCACAATCATGAGGGGGCGGGGGGGATGAGGGTTAGGGTGCAGCATCAACTTGGATGATGAGAGGACAGCCACAGGACAACTGCGCCAGTGCACTCTGCACACACCAGCTATAGGTGGTGTGGAGAAACAGTGATAGAGCCAATTCAGTAGATGGGGATGAATGGGAAGGGCCATTTGGAGGGCCATGAGGGCCGATGTAAGGATATAAGGGCAGATGGAGGGTATTTGGCCAGTACACATGGGGTTATACCCCTACTCTTTACGAGAGAAGTGTCATGGGATTTTTAATGACCACAGAGAATCACATTGGCTTAAAGTCTCATCCGAAAGAAGGCACTCACTGACAGTATAGTGTCCACTTCACTTTACTGGGGCATTAGGACTCACACAGACCACAGGTTGAGTGCCCCCTGCTGGCCTTACTAACACCACTTCCAACAGCAACCTAGGTTTCCCATGTGGTCTCCTATCCAGGAACTGAACAGGCTCAGCCCTGCTTAGCTTCAGTGAGTAACCGGTCTTGGGCTGCAGGGTGATATGGCTGTGGCTAATCTTATATAGTATTTTTTTTTTATTAGGGAATGCACTAAAATTTAAATTCTGGGTCGAAACCGAAAATCTTTAAACCTGCATATTCAGTAGGTGCTTTCCTGCTACTGGCAAGAAGGTGAACCTAAAGCTAAAACATAAATACTAATGACAGAAGCAGAGATGAGAGGAAAATGAAAACAGCCAATAACAAGGTTTTCATTCATTCCTATTATCAAAATATTTGCACCATAACAGTTTTTTCCTGATCACAAACATTTTTAGATCAGAAACATTTCCATTATTACCCCTTTTTTGTATGATCATTACAGGAACATTTTTTAAAGCTAATAAAAACAGCTTTTCTGTAGAGAAACGATATATCGCAAGAAATAATCACAATACTCAACAGCAATATCGCATATTTTCCAAGTACCGTGTAGCTTTAACCTGAACCACAGGGTAAATAGTTACCGGTTTCCTACAAAACATGTTATGATCAACACTGACGTCTTACATTATGAGCCCAAGGGTTGATATCAGACTGAATGCATCATTTGGTACAGTCTCTAAAGCGTGCGGTGTGTCATCAGCTCTGACAGATGCTTTGCTGTGTCTGGTGGACAATCGAATGCTCAAGTTCATGTAAAAGCTTCTCTTTGGCTCTCTCAGGCATGCGTGCCAGCGGCTCTGCTCATGCCCGTCAGTCACCAAGGTCTTGCCACTTCCACAGGATGAACAATCTTACTGGCAACAAGAGTCTGAAATCGCACCTGTACAGCTGACAGCTCGACAGCAAAACAACATCACCTGCCTGAGAGGACGTGGCCACTAGCGTGACTGACTACATAAAGAGAAAACGGCAGTAAACATCTGAAAATATTACACGAGTATCTTTGATGAAAGAACTTGTCTTGTTCCATGAATTCTGGAAATCCCTGTATATTTTTTCCCGAATTTCTGTTTAACGGAGAGAAGATTTTTTCCAACACATTTATTAATTATTATTTATGCTTTATTATTTTTAGCTTAATAGTTTTAATACTTCATTTTTAATAACTGATTTCTTTTATCATTGTCATGATGACAGTGATTAATATATTACTAGACATTTTTCTAGATACTAATATTCAGTTTAAAGTGCAATTTAAAGGCTTAACCAGGTTAATTAGTCAAGTAAGGGTAATTGTACTGTATAACAATGGTTTGTTCAGTAGCCAAATGAAAAAAATATTGCACAACATAACACAACATTTCCGTTTTAAGGAATTTAAATTCAAAATTTTAAGAATAAATATATGTTGTTTTGACTTTTTAAAAACCCTGTGGAAACTGAGTGTAAATTTCATTTACTTGCAGATAAACACAGCTGGCTAAACATGACATGCACACTTAAATGAATGAGCAAAACAACAGGTGAAGCAGCCTCTCATGACAGGAAGATGGTGTTTAAAAACACACACAAAAAAGCGATGCATGCCCTGTAATCAGATTTAATGGCTGAAAATGTCTCTGTGGCCACAAGAAAGAGCTGGTCATGATATTAAAGTCACTCACGTTTTTTTGGGAGACTCTTTGAGCCAGAAAATATCATCACTTGTGATCCCAAACTCCATGGCACCTGGGACCTGAAAAAAAAAAAAAAAAAACTGAAATCACACGCATAAATTAAAGTAAATTATTACAACACATAATTGAATATTTAGATATGTGGAAAGGTCTGTATGTGTTAAAGTGGCTAACAAAGCAGTGTGATGTCAAATTTAGCAGGATCTTCGGATTTTATCGATTTCAAAAACTACATAGCATCCCCATGTTCGCAGATTAAATTCAGGCAAACTTTATAATGCACCAATATATTGTATAATCAAAAACGATACAAAATTTAATACCATGTAAAATAAAATTTAAGACTTTGAATACTTTTTAGTAGCCCTATATTTCTCTAAATTAATTTATCGGTTTTTAATACTTTTTAAGGCTCCACGGACCCTGTAATTGTAAACATTACCTGCCCTGAAAAAATAATACTTTTTGTCAGCAATATATTCATTTTGGCAGGACGGGGGCGCAGTGTGTAGCGCTGTCGCCTCACAGTAAGATGGTTGCTCGGTCGAGCCCTGAGTTTGCATGTTCTCCACATGTTCGCGTGGGTTTCCTCCAGGTGCTCCAGTTTTCCCCATAAGCCCAAAGACATGTGGTATAGGTGAATTGGGTAAGCTAAATTGGCCGTAGTGTATGTGTGTGAAAAAGAGTGTATGGGTGTTTCCCAGTGATGGGTTGCAGCTGGAAAGGCATCAACTGTGTAAAACATATACTGGATAAGTTGACGGTTCACTCCAATGTGGTGATGAATAAGAGGACTAAGCCGAAAAGGAAATGAATCAATTAATTAATTAATATATTCATTTTTGATAGATTGAACACATTAACCAAAATCTGAAAAATATAAATGTTAGGTCCAGGCTTTATTGTCTTTTGATCTTGTAATACTTCACATATTTTATCCTAAACTGATATGAAAGCAAAGACAAATAACAGACTTTCAATTCTGAGGAAGAACAATATCAACTGCATCACATTGGCCAAGTCAGACAAGAGGAAATTATCTTTCCTACACACAATATCAGCAGAAAAAGGTCACATAGTGGAAAAACAACACCCACTGATGCCCGCCTGCACTGGTGCTCGCGCACACGCACGCACACACACACACACTTACATGTGTAGGGTACTTTGGCCGTCCACCAGTAGCTAACAGAATGTTTCTGGCGGTCACTGTCATCTATAAACAGGATAAACAGGAAAACAACAATTCATATACAGTAGGTGGTAAAACACCTTTTAAAAAAATTAAGCTGCCGTATATTTAAAATCGTACCTCCTTCCCTTGGGCATTTACAGCTCTGACAGTGTGTTTATCCAGCAGAGTGCCCTTCATATTTAAATATTTCACCTTCCTGTTATATTAGACAGAGAGATACCAACACATGAATAAATCTACCAACTGGTTGTATAATTGCCCATGACCAGTTTTACAAAAAGTAGATTTCTGCACATGGAGATATAAGAAAAATCAAAAGCATCAATAAAACACAGAGAATTTATCAATTCAGAGGTTATTTCAAGGCAAAATATGATCGAAGTTTGAAGGTTTATAAACAAAACTTTTCCATAAAAAAGGTTTATACCAATAAAAACTGCATAAGCAATAAATAATACATAAAATAAAAACCTAAAACTGTTTTAAGATACACTTTTGACAAAAACTATACAATTTCAACAAAAAAAGTCTTAAAAATAAAATCCAAAATAAATTATACAATTATTTTTTGCAGTAAATATCACCACAAACAATAAAATCATATTCTTCTAATACTCGTATAGAAATAATAACTTTACTTTATTAAATTATAAAATTAGAATGACACAGACAAATACAGACAATAATAATCATTAAAATTCTACAATTTCTACAAAAAAAAGTATTTCAAGGTAAAACTGCTGTTTCATATCATTAAAAACAGGGCATTGTAAAAGTGTGTATTTTAAGGATGTTATTACAATTCTGATATTTTGGAGCAGCGATAATAGCGACGTACGATTAGCAATTTGATGAAACACAACCTGGCATTTCTTTTCTAACATTAAGACATTTTTGAGGCATTCTGGGAAATGACATCACCGCATCTGTTTGCCTCAAAGCCATACAGACAATTTATCATGATGGCACATTTTGCAGTGCTTCAGACTGTATTTACTTGAGATGTTGAAAGAGAGAGACGGCTAATGAGATCTACAGGGAAACACAGATTCTGCTTGACGACATCTGCATATTTCTTGCTCCAAAACATTCTGATTTTTTTTTTTTAAGTATGCTAATATTTTGTTTTACCCTACAGGAAGAGCTGGAAGCCCCACATTGATTACACTGATTGTAACCCCTCTTCTGACCCATAAGTCTACTGATTTGATGTGAATTGATTTGACTTTCTTATTAAAAGTTAGTGTTACATTATATGGATTAATTGAGATATTTGCACAGGAAACATCCCAAAATGTCCCACTGTTTACTCTGCCCCACTTTTTATTGAGTGCCCTTAACTACTATGTACTTGAATCAAGCTAGCGTCAAAATATAAATTAAATGAATATATTAAACTTTACATGTTCATAACTTATTGCAGATCACTTCTTGTACTATTAAGTTGGGATACAGGTAGGGTTAAATGGTTTGGTGGTGTGGGTAGGGTGTAATGGATTGTCAACAGTGTAATTTAAATGTACTTGCAGAAATTAATAAAAGGCGTAATTACATGCAGGTATGTAATCAAACATAAATACAATATAAACACATGTTATAACTCAATAAGCACATTGAAATGAATTGCAGTGCAAGTACATATTAGTTAAGGGCACTTAATATAAAGTGGGACAATTTACTCTTTATCTAAAAAATATACTGTAAACCATAAAAGATTCATGTTCATGTTGTTTTAATGGTTAAACTTACTTGTCTTGTAGTTGAACTCTGTGACCCCAGTTTAGAGACCTAACATGGTTCTGGACAGCCTCAGCCATTGTTGGCCTGCAAAACAAATATAAAAAGCTAAAATTTACATTTAAATTCAGTCATTTAGCAGATGTTGTGCACAAAGTGCACAATCTGGTGCAGGACTGAAATTGATTAGAATACATGTTCTATTTAGATAATGAAAAAAATAGTAAAAAACACATCAAGTTTAAGGGAAATTAATTATTATATTCCATTTAAATTATTATATTTGACAGCATATTAAAGATCAGAACAAAATTCATCATCGTCAGATATGTACTGTAGATAAACACCTTTGTTACAATCTCAAAGGTAGAGAGTCAAGGGGGAGGAAAGTAACATTACTTTTAAAATAAAACGCACAAGAAAACAGATAATATCAATGAATGAGGAAGAGTATATCACGACTACCAAATTGCAATAAAGTACGTTTTATTTACAAAACGGTAGTGAATAATAAGAGACAAAAAATACAGTGCATAGAAACCCAACTATTTACAAATCGAAAAATCACAGGCAGCAAAAACGACACAAATTCTTAAACAGATGGATGGGGAGAGTTGGAGAGTTGAAATGTGTCCAAATAATAGAATAAAAAATAAAGAAAATAGATTCTCAGTTTCTGGCTCAGTTTCTTCCCTGACAAAAAATACATCAAAAAACAGAAAGAGTAGATAAATATATAAAAATGAAACAAAAGCACATTTAAACAAACACTGAATAAATAGATTTAATCTAATCATGTTTAGTTCAAGATGGAGAAGGCCGTTTTCAAAGTTGGTGCAAGTGGATCATCTCAGAAGTGTACATGGAGAACACTAAATCATCTTCAACACTAATAAATAAATTGTATGCAAAGTTGTATTTGAGACCAGCACTGAATATCTGTAAAAACTCTCTTCATCTGACCTGGAGTGCCCTCTAGTGCAGTGACTGCTGAACTTTGCAACTGACCCATCAGACATCTGGTGTTTCACCACAAGATGGTGTTGTGCCTTATTTTTTAAAAGTTCTATTTATGTCACTTAAAGAGATAGCTCACCCAAAAATGAAACTTCTGCCATCGTTTACTCACCTTTCACTTGTTCCAAACCTGTTAGAGTCTTCTTTTAAAGAAAACTGAAAACCTGTAAGCACTGATTTCCATAATAGAAAAAACAAACAATATGGAAGTCAATGGTTACAGGTTTTCAGCTTTCTTCAAAAGATCTTCCTTTGTGTTCAACAAAAGACAGAAACTAACAAATGTGTATAATAACTTACGGAAGAGTAAATAGTGAGAACATTTTCATCTTTGGGTGGACGTTCTTTTTGAAACAAAATCTTAAAGGGATAGTTCACCCCAAAACGAAAATGTGCTTGCTATTTATATTTTCTACATTGTCTACAAATCTGAGTTTATTTGTTTTATGTTGAACACAAAATAAGATATTCTGAAGAAAGCTGAAAAACATTTAAATGGATAGTAGGATAAAGTAAATGTTATGGAAGTCAATGGATATAGGTTTCCAACATTTTTCAAAATATCTTCTTTTGTGTTACCCGTAAAAAAATAAACAGCTTAATAACACAGCACTTCTAGATGCAGTCATGCTACGATATGCCTCTAATATCTAATTCCATGAAACTCACCAGTCATGTGACAGGGTTTCTGGGATTTGCCAGCCATACTTCCTAGCATCTTTGACAGCAGTGCCAAGCAGTGCTGCCTGATGCATAAGCTTCTTTGGAATACAGCCGACATTCACACACGTGCCACCGAGACCCCACTTTGTGCCTAAGAGCAGAGTAATCATAAGCGTAATAAGCACACATACAATCCCAGAAACAAGTTGCCAATTGTAAATGGGTTTGTATGTACCTTTGAGTGAAGGTTCAACATAGTCCAAGACAGCAACTTTCTGTCCTAACTGGGCAGCTGTAATCAAAAAAAAAAAAAAAAAAAAAAAAAGTGTCAAGCATGATGAAAGTGTGAAGTTAAAATGTTAAATGTCATTTCCAAAAAAAAAAAAGAAACATTGTGCTAAATGTAATTTTAAACAAGAGTAAATTTAAAAGAGAAGCAATTGGAAACTCGTACCTTCTTTTGAACATGCCAACCCTCCAGAGCCTCCACCAATAACCACCAAATCATAATCAAATTTACCTGCTGGGATCAGGATGAATATATTAAAACTTTTAGATTAATCTGTTCATAATAATTAGCTTTTTAGCTAATAGTTTAGCTACTATTTTCCTGCACAGAGGAATAAAGAGTAGTCTACTTTAAACATGCAGATAAGGCATATTTAATTATGTGCTAAATGAATACATTTCTAACACAAAATCTAACACAAAAGTAAAAAAAAAAAAACTTGTTTCTTTTTTCAATTTTCACAAAAGTCCATTTGTGGTATGTTATCACCCAGAAAGTAATAGATTATGAATATATTCCTCTTTTAAAACCCTTCAGAATGTAATGTTAGATAATAATAAACTGTAAAGCTTTTTATTAAACAGCATTTTAAAATATGTTGTAACTGAAATTTAAACACACAAATTAAGTGTGACAAAGAACAGTTGGGGAAAGCGCTTTAGGAAAAGCCAAAATGACCAAAAAGTCAAATTTAACATAATATTAAGTTTTCAATTAACTTTATATTACTTTTTTCAATTTCCTCAAGATAATTTTTTTAAATTTATTATGGTATGTTAAGTTTTCACTCCATAAAATACTGCTAACAGCCAGAAGAAAATGTGATTATGAATGTTTTCCTCTTTTAAAAACCTTCAGAATGTAACATTAGATAATAAAACTGTAAAGTTTGGCTGCTCAGGTGAAGGTTTACTTTAAAATGCTGTTTTTATCAAAACAGACTTTTAAAATATGTGTAAGTGAAATTTTAACACACAAATAAAGTTTGACACAGAACGTTTGAACAAAAATTAAAATTTGACATTAGGTAAAAAAAAAAAATCATCAATTTCCTCAAGATCATTTTTTATTATAGTATGTTGAGTTATAACTCCATAAAATACAGTGAATAGCCAAAATGTAATAGATTATGAACAGATTTCTCTTTTAAAACCCTTCTGAATGTAACGTTAGATAATAATACAAAGTCTGGCTTATGGAAGTGCTGTTGAAATGGAGGTTTACAGGAATGTTTTGTTTTTAATAAACAATACAGTCTCTTTAAATATGAATTGTAACTAAAATTTAAGGACAAATAGAGAGCGACAAAGTACACATGAGGTACACACGCGTAAGGAAAAGCCAAAAAGACCAACGATATATAATTTGACAGGTGCAGAACAAAACAGTAGTTGTCTGTAGTGTGTCTCTCGGAATAAATTAGGAGTACGGACATCTTAAGAAAAATAATATGGCGAAGTAACTGCCACAATATCTCTTGTTATTTAACAAGTATTACCTGTAAAGTTTCTTGAAAGTATTAAAGTCCTGAAACAGCAGAGAGTTTTCACCCTCTGCCTGCCTCTACTGAAGGCAGCCATACTGTCGACAAGATAAGACCCCTGTCAGAGTTATAGGTGCCCCAAAAGAAGCCTGGCTGAACGTTTCACCATCCGTTACAAATTTTACAACGTCGTATCTGCTATGACCTAGCTTAACAGATAGGTTAGCATGTTTGCCGTCTACAATAACGAGTACAGAATAAAAAGCCCTTTATAAAGTGTTAATTTTGTTCTCCTCAGCTGACTGTACGACGTAAGCGGCGTCAGATTCTTTTTCATTTGAATCGGATCTTTTAAATGACTCAAATGAAACAATATACAACACGACTGTATCAACACCAATCGTGTTTAATCGGTTTGAATAAACTTTAATCATTACGCAGACTATTTTACCCACGATGAACGCAATCGATAAAAGAAAAACAAAAAAAAAATGGAAATAATATAATGATTCAAAAGGTTATATGTAAAATATATAGTTATTAGAGAACCAAATATATACTTCAAAAATCACTATTCTAAATGTAAGATATTATCAAACAAATAACCATCAATACTGCAAAACATATGTGCATGCTTTTCATGGAATTTCTTTAAATTCTTAATGAACTTCTGATTCTTCTGTGTTTTTGCACTTTTGTTTCCCTTTTATATATAACGTTGCTACATGTAAGTAACAGTACTTACCCTTTATCGTTCCCATTTTGGTCAACTTTGTTGTTTTAAAGTGCAATATAAATAAAATTGTATTGAATTGCTCTGTGAAGTACAAAAAAAGTTCACAAAAATGTTCAAAAGAACCGATTCCAGAAAATGATTCGAACACTCAAAATGAGAGGCGGGCAAAGAATGTTGACATTTGACCAATCCAAATCAAGAGCACGGTCAGTCGCTACAAGATGATTGGCTGTGCCACCGGCTACAGAGTTCGGTGAAAAACCATAACAAAACTGTAGGGGGAGACAGAAGCTCTTCTTTATCTGCAGCACAGCGGCGTTTATATCTCTTAACCCTTCTTGCACAACAGCCGTGAGTCACCATGCCTGTGGATATCAATGAATGGACAGGTTCTCTAGCGCTTACAGAGGTGGAGGAACCGCCAGCAAAGCCTCTCACTGTCAAATATGACTCTGTGGAGATTGACTCGCTGGGAAAAGTGTGCACACCCACGCAGGTCAGAGAAACATAAAACGCGCATGTAGAAAATAGGCCAGGGCGTCCCGTTAGCGATGCCTATGCTTCACAAAGGATTTGCTGATGTTTGGAATAAAACTGGTCGACTGTTTTAACAAATTTTTGATCATTTAAATGTATAAATGTGCTCTTGTTGCATTTGAATTTACTAAAGGTCGTTGAAACGAATGCAGCCAGTGTGTAGTTATATAATGGGGACAACGGTCGCATGCAGCAAAAGTTGCATCTGTCCAGAAATTCCACGATCACGTGACCTGACTTTGCATTACCTCATGCAAAATTAGAGAGATGCTAATTAATGGGTCAAAGCCTGAATTAGAACAGAGACCTTCATAGCAATAATAATAATAAAAAAAATAATAAAATGGGGCAAAGAGTTCTGGAAGTTGACTGAATAATAATTACAAGCTAATATGTATTTTAAAGGTGTTTATAAAGTTAAATGTATTTATTTATATGGAAATAATTATAATAATGTTATATATATATACGTAGATATATAAATGCAACAGTTACATGTTTATTTTCTGCATGATTACAGTATATATATGATGCAGGGATTCAGTTAAAAATCTTACAAATTATGGTGCATTATAAACAATTGAATATATGAAGTTTTATAATTACAAATGCATATGTAACAACTGAAGTGGAACATAATAAACCACATTTGGTTTGTATTAACTAATTGTTTGCACACAGTTTTTTTACCACACAGTAATTGAAAGACCACATTTAAATTAACTTTTCAGATCATTACTTAAAGTGCAATAAAAATTAATCAAATAAAATCGAAGTTAATCTAATTATACACTTTTTTGACCATATTCTTGTTCATACTCAATAATTATCTGTACCAATGCAGCAAAACGGCATTATTAATTATCAAAATATATAGTGAGCCTGAAATTATTCCACAATTTTCTCGGCCATATTCTTGTTCAGTCTCCATAATTATCTGTACAAATGCATCAAATTGCCATTATCAATTATCAAAATATATACAGTTGAGCCCAAAATGATTTACACCCCAGGAGTATGTATAAATAATTTCAGGCTTGACTGCAAATCCCAATGATCTGCTAACTGTAAATCTATTAACTGTAAATCTATAAATTTACATTATGCATTATCATTCATTCATTTTCTTTTCAGTTTAGTCCCTTTATTAATCCGGGATTGCCACAGCGGAATGAACCGCCAACTTATCCAGCACGTTTTTCACGCAGTGGATGCCCTTCCAGCCGCAACCCATCTCTGGGAAAACATTATGCATTATAATCTATAGTATTTCAGATTATAGTATTCTTGCTTAGTGTAAAACTCACTTTGCAGGTGCAGAATCGGCCCACATCTATTGAATGGGAAGGATGTGACCCGAGTAAGCTCTACACGCTGGCCATGACTGATCCAGACGCACCCAGCCGAAAAGACCCCAAATTTCGGTGTGTTTTCAGATCAGTCCCATTCATCATATCAGATCCTAAACTGTACACTTTCTCAGGACTCCCTAGAAAGTTTACAGTTGACGTTAAAATTATTAGCCCTCCTGTGAATTATTGTTTCCTTTTCAAATGATGTGTAACAGAGCAAATGTTCACAGTATGTCCTATAATGTTTTACCTCCTGGAAAAAGTCTAATATGTTTTATTTCGGATAATTGATAATTTTTTAAAAACATTTTAAAGGTCAATATTATTAAGCAATATTTTTATCCATGACTTGCCTAATTACCCTAACTTACCCTAACCCTACCCTTACTATAACCCTAGCCATTAAATGTCACTTTAAGCTGAATACTAGTGTCTTGAAAAATATCTAGTATAATATTATGTGCTGTCATCAGGGCAAAGATAAAATAAATCAGTGATTAGACATTAGGTATTAAAACTATAATGTTTAGAAATGTGTTGAAAAATCTTTCTATTAAATAAAAATTGGGGGAAAAAATATAGAGGAGAGCTAATAATTCTGACTTCATCTGTACATGTTTGAGGCAGGATACTTAATCTGTTTTAATTGCTGTGTTTAATCTCAGGGAATGGCATCACTTCCTTGTGGTCAACGTGAAAGGTAATGACGTCTCCAGTGGATGCGTCATGTCAGACTATGTTGGCGCAGGACCCCCGAAGGGAACTGGTAAGAGATTAGATAATATCATGTCATTTTAAGCTAGCCAGTGCTACTGTAAGAGATGTTTACACATTTAGGCTATAAAATAAGGTATAAAAACAAACTAAAAACAACTAAAAGTTATCACAATATTTCCCCAGTTGATTGATTACAATAAGAATTGCCAACATTTTTTTATTTTTTGCTATGAGTTGACAGAAACTATATTTTTAAGGTTGGCGTGAATCAGAAGTTGTTGAGACTTTTAGTTTAGTATGTTGATGTACTTCCTACTGAAACAGAATATTGAGTAGGGGCGGGGCTTTTTTTAGGCATCATTCCCACATAGCAAACTAAAGGGGCATATTGTGAATATTGTGGCTGAAGCTGTCAAACTGACATCAGAGAAGGACTGCCACTCCAAACACTAAAGCAAATGGTCAGATTTTGATTTAAAATGACCAAAACAACCCATTGATTGTAAAATTCTATTTTTTGGACATATACCTGAGGAATGGATAAATATCTAATGAATATTTTGTTGGTAGCTGTCAAAAAGAGCATTACAAAAAAAGGTTGCCACATAAAAGTCCTACCCTAAATGCGTGGATAGAAATTACAATAGAAATTTATAAAATGGAGCAAATGACCACATTTGTAAATCAGAAAATGGAACAATTTATTTCATTCTGGGAAAAATGGATCCATAGACCTGAACCTTTTTGTTAACCTAAAATCGGACGGATCACTCCCTACATGTACATAGTTTTGTTGCTGATGTGTATGTATATCTTATTTTACTGATTTATTCATGTATTTTTACTTAATTGTCCCCCTCCCTTTTTAAATTGAATTATTATTAGTTTTTTATTACAATTAATTATTTTTGTTTTTTCATTAGTGTAACATTAGTGTACATGAGCACAAAAGGAAACCATATATTGCTGAAAGAGAAAGTGGATGTACAGAATTTGTGCTTATATTTGTGAGTGTATTCAGATGTGTGATCTCTGACATGTACCTGATGCAATTGTAAAACCTTTTTGAGAAAATAAAAAAGATCACTAAAAAAAAAGAAAGAAAATGACCAATACAAATGCTGCTTTTCAGTAGATTAACTTCACCTAAAGTATAACGATGTGCGCTAACAAAAGAAACATTGCAAATTTTGATTTTACACAGACTTTAAGGATTGCAAATCTTATATTAAATTTTAAGTCTAAAGACCTCGTAGAAGGTGATATGCTCTATTAATGATCCTATTAGTGCTGTTTTGTGTAGCATATAAGGCCTGTCATTGTTAGCCACTCTTGCGGTTACCCACATGTCTACTAACATGATGTGTTTCCTGCACATGTTGAAGAAATTCTTACCCGATCGTAGACAAAAAGACCCATTATGTTCACACAACACGTCCCACAACAGTGCTCCTGGATTTATTCTAAAATACCAGAAGATGAACAAATGTTTGGGTGGGGGATGCTTAGTCTTGAATAGGGCTCCAGTAAAGTGCACTGGCGTTTTTCAGACCTGAGACAATGCTCTCAAGTGGTCAAGTCTGCAAGTGTGGGTGTTAGAATACATACGTTTTATTAAAAATCGAAACTTCAACATACAATATTTCAAGGATTTAAAGTCAGCATGATATAGAAGCTGACTCTTTTTTTCTGTATTGCCTGAAGCAATTCCTTGAGAAATGCAATATTAAAAGAGGTAATAGTAGGCGTGGCTTGTTTTTTTTTTCTACTGCGAGCTGATTGGATGTAGTAAAGTAGGCATTTCTTTCAGAAAGATGGGGAAAAGAGTCTGGGGAGAGTTATTACAACCAAAGAGCTTAGAATGACCAAGAGGCGACACTCAATAGAACGTTCCATTGCAACACCAGCGCCCAGCAACAGTCCCGAATTCCGCCATTTTGGAGTGAAAGCGATCGGCTGTCCATTGGATCTTATTGCTGTCTCGATGGCAAGCAGCTGCTTTGTTTTTTACTTATTTTTTTAAAAAGTGCATTAAAGCTGAGATACAACCTGAAAGACGACAATACAACACTTACTATGACAATCATCAGCACTTTTAATAGTTTATTTTACAGACTTATAATATGCCTGTTGCCCTATCCGCTTGTTAAGTCTGTCGTCACGCGAAGCGGCTTCCGGGTCCAAGTGCTCTATTCAACCGAATGGGGAGACTCATGAAATGGTAATAATAAACGTTTACAATGCGATTTAAGGCTTTCGAAAATCCTGATCTCAACATATAGGTCCATGCCTAATATCCTATGGCCAGAAAGTCATTATTTTTTTATAAAATGTTAAATTTTTGGTATTTGTTCTGCAGCAAGCCCAGAGATTGTTGTGTACACTACGATTCTATATAAAATTAACTTTAATGTGTGATAGGAATAAAACGTGATCATAAACGAATGATTTCTCCACTCAAATGAGTGGCGGCTTGGACCTGGAAACAGTATTACATACGTCACAAACACGTCACCACTTAACAAGCGGATTAGAGTTTTCATTCTAAAATGGCCACCGCGCCATCTAGTGACTGTTTCCCAAAATGCACTAGATTGTCGCTTCTTGGTCATTCTATGCTCTTTTTTACAACCTATCAGACTCCTCCACATCACCATTTCTGTTTGTTGTCAAAATTGACAGTTGGAGGGGCGTGGTTAAGTATGTTAGCCATGCCCATTACCTCACACAGGCGTAGTCTGACAATTTTATCGTAAACAAACAGGAAGTGCATTTTCATATTTCAATGGCAGATTAAAGTAGCAAACATTTTGTTTTTCTTAACGGCATGCACAGATGACTAGTTCACCACAAAACTAGCAAAACTACTGTAAACTAACAAAATCAATATTAGTTTTGATTTCATCTGTACTTTAAGATGACGATAACATCATAATTGTCCTAATGGCGAAATAGATCCATCAGCAAATACAAAGCAGTTACATCTGAACTATCTGGTTTCCTGCAGGTCTCCATCGTTACGTGTGGCTCGTTTATGAGCAGTCGGGGAACATCAGCTGCACTGAACGAGTCCTCACCAACCGCTCTGGAGACAACCGAGGAAAATTCAAGATCCAGAGCTTCCGCAAGAAATACAGCCTCGGGGCTCCGCTCGCAGGCTCCTGCTTCCAGGCCGAGTGGGACAACTATGTGCCCAAACTTTACGAACAGCTGGCTGGCAAATAAAGACTGTTAATTACAATGTATGTTATCCTTTAGTCCAGTGATTCTCAACCACGCTCCTGGAGAACCACCAACACTGCATGTTTGGATGTCTCCTTTGTTCATCAAACCCATCACAGGTCTTTCAGTCTCTGCTAATGAGCTGATGATCTGAATCAGGTGTTTGCTTAAGGAGACAGGAAAATGTGCAGAGCTGGTGGTCCTCCAGGAACGTGGTTAGGAAATACTGCTTTAGTCTGAAGAGCTCAACTCAATACAGTTTCAGTAGTTTAAAGGGATAGTTCACTCAAAACAGCTGATTCTGTCGTTTATTCTTTACTTTTTCCCAAATGAGTTTTGTTTTCTTTATTCTGGTGAATACAAAAGAAGTTATTTTGAAGAAAGTCGGAAAACATTGACTTCCATAGTATTTGTTTTTTCCTGCTATGGATGTCAGTGTTTATCAGTTTCCAGCATTCTTCAAAATATCTTCTTCTGTGTTCAACAGAAGCCAGAAATGAAGATTTTGAAACATCGTAGAGTGTGTACATTTTCATTTTTGAGTGAACTTTCTCTTTTAGGGTTGTCTCGATACTGGAATGTGGCACCAATCAATACTGAAATTTGAAAATTTCCCGCTAACATTTGCGCGCTATTGAGCATGATCTTAAACAGCGCTGATTTGCCATTGTGTTCACATGCTCAACAGAAAACACTGTGATTGGGCTTGAAGGTCATCAGTTCAACGAACTCACCAGTGGTTTCTGCGTGTAACCACAAATACAGGGACACTGGAGAATTTTAAAGCAACGATTCATCAGCAGATCGCTCGTATGTCAGCTTATAGAAAAACCAGCTAATCTTTGCGCTTTGAAACACTCCAGTGTCCCTGTATCCGTGGCCACTCTCAGTAAACAGCGGTGAGTTTGCTTAACTGATGACCTTTATGGCCAATCACAGTCATTTCTGTTGAGCATGTGAATGCAATGGAAAATCTGCGCTGTTTAAGAATGCACTCAAATTTTAGTTGGAAAATAGACTTTTCAAATTTCAGTATTGATTGGTACCGAACTCCAGTATCGTGATAACACTAATCCCTTTAAAAAACAATTAATGAACTGTTTTTGTTTGGATTTTTGCTTTAAATGAATTTCAGGTCTTATTTTGCTTTGGTTGAAATGGAATTTAATTTAACAAGTAACTTCAGTCTACACTTTCATTCATTGTCACTTTGCTTTGATGCACTTAGACTGTCTTCAGTTAAAAAAAACGAGATTTGTGTAATCATAGCTGCACTATAAAATACAGTATCTCAATAATGGAAAAGACTCCATTGAAAAAACTGGATAATAAAAGACAATGTTACGACAAAAGTTTATTTATTTTTGTTGCGAACTGTATTGTGCCTTTTCCTTTGTCCTGCCGCCTTGTGATGTTTTTTGTTATCCCATAGGCTCCCATGTTAATGTGGCCCAGGCTCTGATTGGCTACTGGTCACAGAGAGCTATAAAATGAAACTTCCGGCAGAGTTCGAGGAGCTCATTTTTGTTGTGACTGTTGCTTGGAGTGGAGTGATTTCCCTACTCCGGCCGATGACCAAACATTAATATTGTCCAAATGTCCAAGTATGCTTGGAACTTTTTTGAGAGTTTGAGCTTGTAGGGGTGGCCTGCCTATTTATTTACATTACTTTTGACTTTGTTCAGTGAGGAAGGTAAGCTTCCTATAGATTCGCAAGTTATTTAGTTAATTTACTTTACAGACATTTTAACAACATTTTTTCTCTGAATTCTCTGAGTTTATTCTTAACATTTTCTTGAAACATTCTTTTCAAAATTTAAAATGTACATATTTTAAGTTTATTCTCAATGTTTTATTTCAACATTTTTCTCAAAATGAATTAATATTCTTTAGTTTGTTATTTTGGCCTGTGGCCATCCTGAGGAGATGCTCATTTAAATTGCTACTTTTTTTCCTACAATAAATCTATCAGACCCTCCAGTTTTTCACAATTCCACAATTGCTGAATCCAATGAAAATTAACAAAAAGTTGAAAATTTTTAAGATCTTGCAAAATGTTTAATTTAAACGCACAAAAAATGTAAAGCAACCAATTCCAAACCAAATAATCAAATTAGATTTAAGTTTGCAATTAATTGTTTTACAGTACTTATAGACGTTGTGTACGCCGCGCACATGAGCCTGTAAAGTAAGCAGACACGGCTGAAGCGTGAATGATTTAGATGTGAAGTCAATACAAAGATGCGATTAGACAATCTGTGGCGCGAATTGGGCCATTTGTGCATTTGGCGCTTATAATGATGGAGATTGGTTCAAGGATGATGGCCACTGGATGTGACCGAAATCAAGAACATTATTTGTGTTTTACATGTATGGCCGGTATTATGATGTGCGTCAAATTAATAAATGATTTCACTTAACTCTTTCCCTGCTGTTCACGAGAAAATACTTCCCTGCTATTGACGAGTTTTACAGCAATCCCTGTTTTAGGTGTTAGGTTTTACGGTAGGGGAAGCCCTAACGCATGTTCTGAGTGAGTTACATGATGTCAGATTCTCCAGGTAGTGAAATTTGAAAGAAAGTAAGATTGTAGATAAAAGTAAGAGTTATACAACCTTCCTTTGGCTTAATCTCTACCGTTTTAGATCAGTTTTAGATCTTGTCTTGACAAGAGACCAAAATAAATAAGTTTTATTTTTATGATTTGTGTCACTGTAATAGTGTTAGATTGCACATATAACATGGTAGGCTACCTAATATGGTAAATAAGATCACATATTTATATATATTTAATTTTTGTACATATATACACAAACACACACACACACACACACACACACACACACACACACACACAAACACACATACATACATATATATATATATATATATATATATATATATATATATATATATATATATATATATATATATATATATATATATATATATTTATATATTTATTTATTTATTTATACAAAAGTTTTGTCTGGTTCTCAAATCTGATTGGCTGATAGCCGTGCGATATTCTGCCATATCAGAACTCCTACAGCCTCTTTACCCTTAGTGTATTACTCCGCCCACATACAACCAGCATTAAGCAGACACTACAGATCTAAAGTTTAAAAGATGCACGCTCAACTGTTTAACTGTCAGCTTATGATTTGAATTTGGAAGAAAGTAGTTCCTCATACAAAAGAGTTTTTGAGACTCTCCATGTTTGATTTAGTTTTTATATACACAATTATGCCATCAAACTGTTGTATAAACGCAATATCACACGAGTAGCAGTGCGATATGGCTGTATATCGGCACTGGTGGGGGCACTAAGAAAGTCGGCTTGCGGCCTCGTGCCAACGCACGCCTCCCACCAGTGCTGACATACAGCCATATCGCACTGCTACTCGTGTGATATTGCTCATATATATATATATATATATATATATATATATATATATATATATATATATATATATATATATATATATATATATATATATATATATATATATATATATATATAAATCACAAAAGTGTTTGCACGTTCACAAAATCAGTAATTTTTATCGCAAAATAATCACAAATCGTGTAAAACTACAGGGTTTGATCTATTTCATTTTGCATACTTCTTTTGTTTGTTTGTTTTCTTTTGGGAAATCCACCATTTACAACTTTATTTGGTTTATTATGCCCATGGTTGTTTTTTGCAATAATATAAAAAAAAACATTGCTTGCTTGTGTGATGAGCACTTTATTTACAAATATAATTAAAAGCTCTGACAGGAATCATGCCTCTTAACCTGAAAACGAATGTAAAGTGCATGCGACAGTAAAGTGTTCGATCCACTAATCTGACTTTGTAGAAAATACACAGTTGGAAAAGGAATGGCGGAAAAAAACAGAAACCCGAATCATGAGGTCGGTCATTGAGACAACTTCACCAGTGACTGCAGGAGGGATGTGAAACATTTATTATATTCATATAGATGTGTGTTTGTATTTATATATATATATATATTTATATTTATAAAAAAGAAATTGGATTTCCGTTAAAATGTAATAGGAAAATAAGTAAAAGTTCTCCATAAAGCCTTCTATACACAAAATACACGTCCCATCCCCAACAGCCCTTTGTGCAGGTACCACGAGTTTAGGATTCACATATGTAGAATTCACATTGTGCCAATTACGGTATATATTGTTCATATGAATGCTGCAGATTTTCCCCCGCCGCCCTCAAAACCCCAAAAATCCATACGAATCTCAAGAGTCGCAGATGCAACTATCAAATATGTACATTGTTTTATTTATCAAATTTCTTTAATACTTTAATAAAAGGTATTTTTCGTTATTTTTATGGTTGAATAAATACCAAATAAAGATTCAAGAGGCAGGAGGCTGCAAAAAAAAAAAAAAAAATTTAAAAGAGGAGAAAAGCCAGTCGAAGAGAAAAAGAATTAGCAAAAAGAAAACAAACGTGCGTCTGGATTAAAATGTGCAATACAAACCCCCCCAGTTCATATTGCTTTTCGTCTTGAAATCTCTTTTAATCGGACTTGCGCTGAAAGTGTTATCGTTGCACGAGAGAACATTGACATCAACACTGTGACGGATTTCATGGTCTCGTTTACAATAATCATATATATAAAAAGAGACAACTAAAGGAGGTTTAATCCAGCATGACGTTTCTAGAAGAGGGCGCCCGAAATGTGTAAGGCCTGCGGAGGCACCAGCCCAGAGGAACCATGGGACTGTCAGTAGCAAAAAAAAAACACAGATTTGTTCAAAAAGTACAAATAAAATAAACTGTGGATGAAAGATGGAGGATGGTTGGAGTGTTATGGTCTCATCTGTAGTCATCTTTAGGGTAGTCCAAAGCACCCAAGTTGTTGAAACCCATGCGGAGACTCTCCATGTCGAAGGCGTCGATTTCTCTCTCCTGACGGTCCAGCAGATGTTTGATTCGGTCGGTTCGCTCTTTCTGAAGAGAAGCCAGCTCCTCCTCGATCTGATGATGACAAGACATGACATTCAAATGTTTTGTTCTGTGCTTGAATTTGTTTGAAGCTCCAGAAACAAACTGAAGGAATTTGTTCAAACTTATGTAGTTTTATATGATGTGAAATTTATAGTTGGCCTGTCCACTTTGGTTATTTGATTCAGTAGATAATAAAAATAATATGGAGCGAAGCAGTTTTTTGGGAGGTAGAATCAATTCTTTGTAAGATTTACAATAATCTTAGTTTTTTCAGCTGTAGTTTTTAGTTTATGATTAACATTTTATTTAGACATTTTATTTAGACACAATTTAGGAAGTTTATTCTTAAAAAAAACTTTTTTTCCTCTGAATTTACCTAGTTTATTCTCAATATTTTATTCAGAATGTCTCAATGTAAAAAAACAAACAAACAGCTTTCTCAATATTTCATTTTTGTTTTTCCTCTAAATGAGTTTATTCCTAACATTTTTTTCAATGTTTTTCTTGCAAAATATTTTTTTTCCTCTTAAATTATGAAATTTTAAAGTTTTTTTTCTTAATGTTAAATAAAAATTTTCTCAAAATTAATTAATATTCTTTAAAATAACTATTTTTGAAATGTAATTTATTTATTCTCATTTTATTTCAACATTTTTCTCTCAATTGAAAGCTTTTTTTAAATAATGACTTTATTAATTTGATAACATTTAATGAGTTTATTTTAAACAACTGTTTATTTCAACGATTTTGTCGCAAAACAACAACCCTTTTCTCTGAATTTACTGAACATTTTATTTAAACAATGTATAATTAAATGTATATTTTTTTAAACACAACTATTAAAATTGAGTTTATTCTCAATGTTTTATTTCAACATTATTCTCAAAAATAATTAATTTTTTTTAAATAACTAATTTTTAAATTTAATTATTTTCATTGTATTTAAACATTTTTCTTTAAATGAAAATATTTTTTAAATAGCAACTTAATTAAAAAAATGTAATGAGTTTATGCTCAACATTTTATTGAAACATTTGTCTCGAAATTTATAAAAGATTTATTTTTAAATACGACTTTATTCTTTCTATTCAACTATTCTTGATATTTTATTAGTTTATTCTCAATGTTTAATTTAAACATTTTTCTAAAAATATATATTTTTTTAAATAACTTTGAAATTGAAATGGTTTATTTTATTTTATTTCAACACTTTTCTCTAAATTGAAAGCTTTTTTTCTAAAATAACAACTTAATTCTTAAAGCATTTAATGAGTTTATTCTTGATATTTTATTTCAATGTTTTCTTGCAAAATAACAACATTTTTTCTCTGAATTTACTGAGTTTATTCTTAACATTTTATTGAAAAATTCTTT